GTATGACATAATTAAGTGTAATTGTAAAACTTATTTTTAAAAACAGGTAATACGCCAAACACGTGTAGCCCATAATCTGTACAAATTGTTAATACTCTTAACAGGAGTTTACATGTGTATGTGTTTGTGTATATGTAATGGTAAGTTAAGTATATGTATTGTATCCTTGCAGCATCATGTATGATTTAAATTTCAAACAGTAATATGTACAAAGTGAATAGCCCTTAATTTGCAGAATAATGTATTAATTGTTATAACTCATTTTCAATGTCTGCATATTTGTATTTTGTAATATATATCTAAACAACATGACATATATAAGTGCAATTGTAAGGTTTATATTTAAAAGGTAATTTGTCAAATACGAGTAGCCGCACAAATTGTTACTACTATTATACAAATTTTGCATATGTATGTTATTGTAATAGACCTACTGTTTGGCGGATAACCAGGTATCTTTAATGTCATAATTCTATAATCTTATTGTGATCAACTATGTAATTGTATGTTAACCTATGTAAAGATTCTGCCTTTGTTTGGCACTGTACTTTTTATTCCTGGAAACAAATTAACACTGGACCTGGCATTTTGGCTTAGAGTATTCCTCGGGAGCACTTTGGTCGGCTGGACTGCTACCCGGATGAATAGGGTGCTGGGTCTGGGCGTCTGGTGCGAGTCTCACGTGTGGCCTTATTCTGGCCTTGCTCTGGATATTGGAGGACGTGAAGCTAAACCAATTAACCATAACGGTAAAGGGATGGTGCCCACGTCCCCCGTTCCTAATCCTAATCATTCCACATCAGATATGATGAAGACTGCTGGTGGCCGCTGTGGATATTACAAATGGATGAGGAGCATTTATCCTTAACTGGGAACATAAACTCCAAGAACTGCATTCACTAGGCTGACAAAAATCCTCACGATATACCACAAGCGCCTTTTCACGAAGCTAGAATGATTGTGTGATGCGGCATCGCAAGCACTTACTTCTCGGTCCATTCTTCTTCGAAAAGGTCACTTCCACAGACGTGAAAACATGCTCCATCCATCACAAGTGCTCGGTATACAACAATGCTTCAGAAATACCCAATTCCAGAATTACAGTAGTGAAATTTCATTAATGAAATTGTATGGATGCAAGATGGTGCTCGTCGCCACATTGACTCGGCAAGTGCGGCAACAACACTTTGGAGAAAAAGCCATCTCCTGTAACTTTGCAGTTTTGTGGCCACGGCGATCCCCCGATCTCACTCAAATTGTTATGGATCGGGAGTTATCTGAAATATAAGATATACACTGCGAGGAAAAATTGGGACAGTTCTATATCTTCCATTCTATTGGGACGATTGACGAAATTAAAATTGCGTTTTTCATGACTGGAAAGCGCGACTTAGGATATGAGATTTATATGATATATATATGAGATTTAGCAGTATATGAGCAGTGTGAGATCGACACTGCTCCGTCTTTTTCCTTTGCTCTTATTATGACATATATATATCGATGCGTGATTAGATCCATATTGAAGAAGAATTTTGATTGCGTAGAGGAACTTGGCAGTCGAGGCAGTTTTAATTCCATTTTTATTTCCAATTGATATTTGTGGCCACAATCACTTGGCACTCTAGTCGTGCCTTTCCACAGAAGATTTACATTTTTGATATTGTTGGGATAGAAAGCAAGCCAGCGAAATTACATCTTAGCACAGTAGAGAGCAAAAGCTGAAGTGCGTAGTTATGCAAGATGGAAGCACGCGAAGAGAAAAGTTTTGGTTTACAATTCAGTGATTGGTTGTCAAGAGGCATCTGGTATTAACGGTTACGTAAGATCGCATGATTAATCTGAATGACGCAATGCAGATAAGTTATTACGATTTTAGTATAGAGAGGAAAAATTAATGTTTATAGTTATATTATAATTCTGATTCATACATTTTTATCTTACATATATATATGAGATTTATATATAGCATCAGTCTAACATAGAAATTCTAACAAAAAATTGGACGTTTTCTGAAATGGCATGTCAAATTTTTTCCCTATTTCGATTCTACGAATCAAATTACGCCTAGATATTAAATTTTGTAAAATTTGATGCGAAATTTATGGAGAAATTAAAAAATTTATCTTAGCACACTTTTTTTCAGGTTGCGCCAAGAATAATTCACTTAGCGAACTTCTTAATATATGGCAATCTATTTTCCTTTCCCTTCCATTACGCTGGAGCGAAAAAAAAAAGCACCTCTTTCCTTCCATTTTACACTGTGCATAAGCCTTAAAAAAGTCACATCGTTTCTACTTTCAAATAACTTTCGCAAAGTGTCTAAAACACATTTGGTGTTTTATCGCTTTCAACAAACATGCGGAATTTCGAAACGCGCCAGTATACATATTCACGTATATCTTCGGAAATTTTGAATAAAAGAACTGTAATTTTTCGCAGGTATGCTTAGGAATACTTTAAGATGATGGCAAAAATGTTATAGATTATAATTCAAAATGTTTTTAGAAAAATTTAAAAAAATATTTTAAAATACAAATTTTAAAAATAAATCATAAAAAATGGGCGAATTTTATTTGGAATTAACTCGAATTTCGAAATGTGTAAGGAGGAATCAAATGAGTTTAATAAAGAAAACAGAGATTAATAAATATATACTAAACTCAATTAACATTAAGGAGCTAAAATTTTGAGGACTAATTTTTTTAACAAATACTCTCGCGATTTTTACAAAATTTGATAGTTTGACGTAATTTGAGTCGTAGAACCGAAATATGGGAAAAAATCAGCGTATCATTTCAGAAAAAGTCATATTTTGTGTCCAAATACATATATTAGAACAATAATTTATTTACTGAAGAAATATTGATTATGTATCCTAAGTCGCGCTTTCGAGACATGAAAAACAGTAGTTGAATTTCGTCAATGTGCCCAGCAGAACGGGAGATATAGAACTGTCTCTTTTTTTTTTCTGCAGTGTACATATCAAATGCCCGATATTTGTCAGAACTGAAAGATGTCATACAACATGAAGTCATACACATTGCTCCTGCATTGATTTAGGTTTGTCATTATTATCCACAATCTTCCACATGGCAATACAAAGGTGTGTATGTTGAAAATTTGCAATTCCAACAAAAGTTTTGTTTTCCTTCTGCTTTCTTGTGTTGTCATTAATCCTTTACAATGCTCTTCTGTATTATGTTTCACGTCAGCAATTTTCGTCATTTGTGTGTCGTACCAACGCGATTAAGGGTTTTGCAATACGCTAATTAGTTTTATTGTAACCTTTACAGTGAGAATTCTGTTGTTTTAAATCATCGCAGTCTCGAGCGAATACCTTCCGATAACAATTATTTTAATTATTTAATTTTTAATTAATTTAAAATTTATTTTATTTAATTTTAATTTTATTTATTTTAACTTATTAGAGGTAATTTATAAAAAAAACTGAAATTTATTAAAAAATTTTGAGACATCTGAGTGTTCGTATAACGAAGTTTTATTCTGACGACCACACTGTATGTATACAATTTTTGTAACAGCTATTTTAGATGGCTCTAACACGGAAGTGGTTAGTATCATAAAATAATTAAATCGCATATTTCTCTTGTAATAACTCTGCATATTGGTGATCGTGTATAAAAATTTGCGCCGACATCTTTTCTGCTAATCTGCACATTAAAATGAAAATATTTTATTTTCAGAGAATTTGTTGTGATCTAACACTTATGGCAACGAATTAATATTGCAGAATATTCTATTTATGGATATTATGGATTTGACGATACATTTTATGCGAAATAAAATTTTACATTTTATTGTAATTATAGATTTTGCAATACAATGTGTAATAAAATCTGCATGCTAGTTTCAAATAAATATCTTAGTAGGAAATAAATATGTTAATTATCTCGTAAAGAACAACTCACATGAAAAACTGTGCTGTTTTTAATTACAGAGGTTAATAAGATTTGAAAAAGTGTATTTTGTTTCCGTCTTTAGAGTTCCGCGTTTAACGCAAATTAGCGAAAGATCTCGCTTTAAAGAACAGAAAGAGGTAGACTGCGAAAGAAAAAAAGACACTTTTATATCTCCCGTTCTACAGGGCCGATTGACAAAATTCAACTTGCGTTTTTTATATCTCGAAAACGCGACTTAGGATATGTGTCAGAATTATATATAGCATTTTGACGCAAAATCGACCCTCTTCTGAAACGACATGCCACTTTGTTTCCCTATTTCAATTCTACGACTCAAATTACGCCAAACTGCCGAGTTTTGTAAAAATCGCAAGAGTAGTATGTAAGTACGAGTAGTTAAATACACTATGATTGAATGGGTTCCCAGTGTTCAGACTGTTAATCACTGCTACTACATTGAAGTGCTAAATAGACTTAGGAAAAAATTAGGAAAAATAACGCCGCAGTTGTGGAGTTATGAATGGCTGTTGCACCAAGACAATGCACCCGCTCACTCGGCCCTATCTATCAAGTACTTTCTGAACAGCAAAAACATTACTATGATGAGGCATCCTCCTTATTCACCTGATTTGGCTCCATGCGACTTTCGTTTGTTTCCAAAAGTTAAATGCTACTTAAAGGGAACCCATTTTATCTCAGCTGAAGAGTGAAGAGGTTGAGGCAAAAACGGAAAAACGGAGAATCTCCTGAAGGAGTCTTCCAAAGGTCTTCCAAAGACCTCGTTCCAGAACTGTTACCAGCAATAGCAACATCGAATACAGAATTGTGTGAATGCTCAAGGGAACTACTTTGAAGGTGATAATATCACTGAGAACTGATTCTGTAAGTACAAGGATTTATTGGACCAGTGTCTTTTTTTTTCTGTGTTACACCTTGTGTATTTGGTCACCAATAATATGCTTTTCATACTAGTTAAAAAGCATTTCCCCACTTGCGTTTTGTGTATAGGAGTATTACTAGTATCTTTAAATTAATCTTACTCAACATTTTAAGAATTATAAATAAAAATTTTCTTACAAGCACATATGCTTGGTGTGCTCCTCTTTGGAATCGACTTCACGATCCTCGGAGTGGAGATGTTCAAAATAAGAATTCAGAAGTTCTTCCTGGGAGTTGAAGCAGGTTGCATTGCGATTTATTATTCCATGTCCAATGCATGGAAGGCCTTCCACAATGGCTAAAAGTAAAAATCCTTTTGTTAAGTTTCTATTAATTGAATTCACATCAGTAAGTACTTCTCGATTATATCGCATTTTCATGTTTCCGGTACATTTCAGTATACCGTAGTTCTCTAAATCCTAACGAAAATCCCTTCTCCTAAAATATAACTAAATCGGAAGAAAAGAAACCGATTAGGCCCAAAATTAGGGAGGAAAAATTAGAAGCTTGTTTGAAAAGATGTTCCTTAATTCCATCGTGGTTCTTCAGTGAGACTGCCAAGAAAACTAATGTAAGGTGTTGAATTGAGTTGAGGTAAATCCTAATCCGTACTTTTCCGTTTCGCCAGCGCAAATCTCGCCAACCAGACATTATTGGCGACAACATACACATAAAAAATTTTAGCAAATGTTAGTTCTAAGAATTTTTTATTTTGAAGGCATAAACATTTTAATATCGTTTAAAATTTTCTAAAAATCCAATAAGTATGTAAAAAGACATTAATTTAAAAATTTACTATGCTTTCACGGTTCAACATGCTGATTCGCCGGTTCATATCACGAGACCCCAAGTGATCTCAACTCACCCAACTATGCTACAAAAATATCATTCTCTCAGTAATTATCTACATTAATTTCAAGTTAACTCTTAATTTGGAATACAAGTTTAAATGCAAGAATTACTTCAATTCGTACGAACAGCTTATTCAGAAATTATGTAAAACAACATTGCTTTATTTCGCTAGTGCATTCTCAATTAGAATTGATGAATTTAACCCTTGACTTTGCCTTTTTTATATTTTTGCCTTCGGGTGGGCGGTGTGATTGCATCCTAACTGACTTAATTACCGCAAATGGACACACATAGACACACATAGTCCTTCACCCGAAATCCATTAGTTACCCAGTGTTTAAAACCGCTGAGTACTGAGAGTTCGACCTGGGTTCGATCCCAGGCAAACGGGCAGGTTGCGTGGTTAGTTTTCGTGGTTAATCCCATGTGTAATGTGAATACGAACCAGTTTGCCTTATAAAGTCATCCAAGGGTAAGATCGTATGTATGCATTCTAGAATAATTTTTATCTTTTTATATGAAAGTATACATACGTGCATCTTGAAATACGTTCAAGAAATTAAGGCATTGTATTAAAAGTATATAAACCCAGATATTAAAGAACCAGGGGCAATTTGGCATTAAAAATAAGAAAAATCCCTCTTTCTCAAGATAGCTTTAGGAAATCTGAGCATTCTTAGCGAAACCCTGTGCTGGTCAGAGGGCCAGAAATCTAACTTTTGCTGAACTTATGAGTAATGCCGTATCTATGCAATTCTGTGATTTTTTCTGTTGTGATAGCAGATGGAAAATGGCAAGAACATTAGCGAAAATAAAAATTGCAGAATTTCGTTAAAAAGATCCGTTTTTTTTAATGTAATACATCATATAATTCGCAGTTATTAATTAAAATTTATATTTTCAATTACTAAAATGTGTTATTTGATTTGTAGATAATGTTATGCAATAAATATAGACAATTTGGCAAGCTTAAAAAAAAAGTCGCCCAAATGACTAACTTGTATTCGATAAGTAAATTTCGCAAATTTACAGAAAATGTTTCGAGTACATATATATTATCGCAATCATCTTAGTAGACATGACCAAATTATTAGAATGTCCTAAATTCTGGCAAATATACTCATAACAAACTTCCAAACAGTCACGACAGTCAAGCAAGGTCGTAATTTCTGCATGCTTTATTTTTATTATATTTCAAGTGCCAATGGTTTTTATAGACAGTACTTTTTGCATTAAACTCAATTTTAAAATATAGAACTACTCTTATATGCGCCCTCAAGTTGCCAAATTTCTCGCCAAAAATGTTTGGCGAGAAACTCCACGCTGCCATATTACTATCTAAATTTTTTAAGCCTAAAATGTCTCCAAAAACGCGTTTTCGCACATGCAAAAGCCACGTTTTGAACACAGAACTTAAGCTAAAAACAAAAACTTTAGATAGCAAAACGTAAAGTGTCTAACCAAAAATATTTGACAAGAATCCATGTACACAGCGATATTTTTTAACTTACAAAAAATCTACGAATTGCAAAATATAGGCAGAGAAGGAATAAACTAAAATAACTAAAATAAATTTCAAACAATTCAAACAAATATCAATAACGACAGATATTCATACTAAAAAACATATTAAAAAAACAATGAACATGACATTCTACAAAATAAGAACAAGAATAAAATAAAATGCACTTACCATGAATTAATGCATTTTCGAACAGCAGAAATACCAATTTCATACCGCCTTTAACATGCTGCCACGTAATTCTATCGTATTTATATGACAGCCAGACACACTATCCAGAAAATTCATACTATGATTCACAAATAAATAAAATCACAAATAATCACAAATCCCTACTTCTATCATGCACAGCCACTAAAAATAATCTCCCACACCTTCTTTCCATTCCTCCAAACACCCACTGCTCCTCAACAGGATGGCCACAATGATATTTCCTTTTGCCGAACTTCAATTCAACAACTTCTACCATTTTATCTCCCTCCCCCATCTTCCTCAGACACAGAACCAACGAGCTCCAGCAAAAGATTTTTCAACGTCAGCACGCAATCACGCCAAAAAACAGCGCAGAACACATATCGCCAGATTTGGTGAAATTAGGGCGTATATCAGAGTTGTACCTAAAATATTCTCATGGGGCATTTGGTACTCTACAGGAATACAGTATTTTGCTGTAAAATCATTAAAAGAAACAGCGATAAGATGCATTTTATTGATAGCCCTATTGGTAATGTCGAAGATGTGCAATTCTCTAATGATTTTAAGCAGAACCTTCTCCCTGTATACACAACGATATGAACAGAGCAAAAAGTTACAGAACGATTTCTGGAAAATTCCAGATATTTCATTTATTTTTTTGTATCATATAATACTTATTTAATAATTAAAATATGTGTTTACTTTCGATACCTTAATAGTGTTTGCCTGCTTACGATCAATTGAAATAATTTGGAAAGTTTCTTAAAAATATCGCTAAAATCACGAACTTGCTCCGGACAAGTAACTTTCACCTTTTCATCTGTAAAAAATCTCCAGATTCGTCAAGATGGTTGGGATTTAAATTTAATTACCATGTTTTATTCATACGATTAGGTTATACACTTTAATCTCCAACTGCGGAAAGATAGAAAAAAAAAAAAAAAAGATCATCATTGAATAAGAATGCATGAAATTTTTAATCAGCATAAGCGAGACATCATCTTTTGTTTTGATTGATCCAGTGAGTTAAAATGCAATAAATTCATTTACATTTCTGTAAGGCTTAGAATATAAATTTAATCACCACTTAAAAAGCACGTAGCTGCTGGTAATGAAAGTCGTATTGGTTTTACATATTCTTTTAACTATTCGATGCCCGAGGTCAAAATATTGCGACGAATAGTTTGACTATTGAACAAGAATATGTGGGAAATATCCATCGCTTAATTTATAAAATGTATTCACTGAGTTTTAAAAATATTCCTTACTTTTCCGTTTTACCGGCGCAAATCTCGCCAAGCAGACTTTATTGGTGACAACACACAGGATACAAATAAAAAAAATTTTAGTTCTAAGAAAGTTTTTATTTTGAAGGCATAAACTTTTAAATATCGTTAAAAATTTTGTAAAAAGGCAATAAATTTGTAAACAGTAATTTTGTAAAAATTATTATGCTTTCATGGTACAACATCCTAAGTCGCCATTTCATACCTCGTGACCCCAAGTGATCTCATCTCACGTAAACTACGCTACAAAAGTCTAATTCTCTCAGTAATTACCTACATGAATTTGAAGTTAAATCTTAATTTGGAGTACAGAATTAGATGCAAGGATTACTTCCATTCGTACGAATACCTTACTTAGAAATTATGTAAAACCGTAATGCTTTATTTCGCTAGTGTATTCTCATTAGAATGGATGAATTTAACCCTGGACTTTGCTTTCTCTATACTTTTGCCTTCGGGTGGGCGGTGTGATTGCATCCTAACTGACTTAATTACCGCAAATGGCCTTAGGGCATAAAATTGAATTATCTGGTAAAAATTATACGTAATCGTATGCCAGTATTGAAAGAAACAATCAATCTCATAAGAAATGGCCGCGACTTGTTTTGAAAATGAAGCGTAAAAGGTTGCCAGCGAGAATATTCCGTTTGGCATCGGTTGAACCATTTTGGCGATTTTATCGCTTGCGCCGGCAAAATGGAAAAGTACCAAATATTTCCTGGAAATATCGCATTGTTTTAGTAAATTTATAAACGTAACATCTTTCACGAAAATAATCATGATGGACAATGGTTAAAACTTCATTTCAAGATTTGACCCAGGCAAATTACCAAGCCACCAGGAGAAATGAGATTAAATAAAATCGTATAAGAGTGCCTACAGCTCAAATAAATCAAAAGAAATTTGTTTTCGTTTGACTTACGATTACGTTTTGCTTTCGATTAAGAAAGCTATCAAAATAAATTGAACCAAACTCACATAACTTACCTTTATGAAATTGGCTGTCTTTATTGCAAATATCGTCCACGAGACTGAGAATATTTCCGTATTGTCCAGGGAGAGAAAATAGTTTTGTGCTACACATTTCATCATAACGACCCAAGCACTTAATATAATCTTCAATCAATCTAAATTTAGAAAAAATAATTTTATTAAACGGGAATTAAAAATTTTAAAATTTAAGACCAACATATAGTCTTTTAGGGTAATATTTTTTCATGTGCTACTTAGAATACTCCTCCTCAAGACGAAATGGAGGGACTAAATAACATATCTTTTAATCTCATACGTAATATTTAATGTGTCGCATGTTTGACGTAATTTCCTTCGAAGCAGAAAATTCGAAACTCAGGTATGCTGCCATCGGAAGTCGATCTTTGAAATGTTAACTCTAAGTATCAGTCTCTTAGCCACGAAATAATGCACAGGAAAGGGAAAATACATTGCATTCCTAATTAACTCTGGGCTCTGCAAGCGGGTTACTTATTAACTAAGTTTTTTCTCTATTATTAAATAATTAAGAACCTGTATTTATATACGAATGGAAACCTAGCCTCAGCCTAGAGCCACCAGATTTTGAAAACACATAGTCCTCCACATTGCATGGAAATCTCAAAGCGAGAATTTTGAATTTCGCATTTGCATTTCATTTATTTCATATTTTGTAAGAATTTAATGAATTTTTGATTAACAAAACCAACATCTTAAGGTGTTTATATATTACATTGTAAAATTTAATGATTCTTTTCTTCATGTGTTCTACCATACGTAATTATTATTTTAAATCGTACTTACACAATCATTAGATTCTAATATCTATTTGATAATCATACATTGTTTCTGCTTAGACGACAATACAGACGTATTAAATTTCATTATTATTTAGACTCAACGCATGAACAATGCCTGTTTGTTCTTCTTTATACGTAAAAAAGAGGTATTGTAATCGCGAAAAATTTCGGGACGGTAAAACTCTCAAAAAAAAAAAAAAAAAAAATTCCAACGAAAATATTAATTTTGACGGCTATCGAATGCAATTCAACTATATTTTTGCGTGCCATCTGCACGTAAGGACAGAATTAAGGCCTCTTTTCTCCCTAAAAATTTATAAAACTGATTTAAAATGAATTCAGAAGAGAATTTTTCGTATCGCCTGTGCGTACGTACGTACGTATCTCGTATAACTCAAAAACGAATAGCCTCAGAACGTTGAAATTTTGTATGTAGGACTGCTATAACATGTATATGTTCATCTCGTATTTTGGTTGCAATCAGCAGCACCAAAAGCATATAAATATATATATATATATATATATATATATCCACTCTGTTACTCGGCTCAGTGAGCTCAGTTTCTTTATTTTTATACAATGGTAAATTGTGCATTTTTTGCTTTAAAAATGATTGAATCATGTTCTTATCTTCCGATTAAGGTTTCTATGTCTTTAGTAAATCCGCATGCAGTACTTGTAAGATTATCAACAATTCATAATTTGCTTAAGGACGGAACATTTATGCAGATTCCTTATTAATTAATTTCTTTAATAAATAATGTTGCCTGTGGAATATATTTGAAAAAAAGTGCCCCAAAATGGAATTTTTTTTTCTTTTTAATTTTGTTCTTTATTATCATAAAGATTCTAGAAATAGATTACTTAAAAATAATTGAACAAAATAACTACTATATTCCATATTTGCACATATATGGTAAATGTTAATGGATTACAGCAATTTTGTGTTCAAAGTATAGCAAAATAAGTGAAATGACAAAATTTTCAAGATAAATATAATAAACTAATAAAACAATATTATTATTTATATCAATTGTCATGAATTTCATATCCCTCAGACTTTTATAGTGGATTTTTACATTGAATGCGCCAAAATTTGTGCAGTTTAGCATTAGGGTGTTTTTCAAGGTCGACTTCTTCATTGTTCACAGAATGTGAACATTTTCTTAGCATTTGAAATCTGTCATAGGACACAACTTTGGGAAAGAATAGACTTTCAAGACATGTCTTTTTTGACCAAAACATTGAGCCATTGGGCTTCTAAATAATACCCTGTAAAACATGCAGCAACTAAAATAATGTCAGTTCATGGTCATGTGTAGGCAGCCACACTTTTGATCGGGTTTTTGGCTTCAGATGTTACTTTTCAATGCATTGCTGTACATATCTATTAGTCTCTCCCGCAACGGTGTGAATCAGATGGTCATGGAAAAATAGTCCAAAATATTGTTTTTCGTGAGTAAAAGTAGATGTGCACCCACTTGTGGTTGACGGAATGGGTATTTTGGTGCGGTTGGAGGCAGGTTATTTAAACATAGCGGCATCCAGGTTTGGCGTCAAAGAGTTTCATTTTCGGAATAGTCATACTCTCCTGTTGAAATACTGGTATCGGATCATAAAGCGACTAATAAGTATTTTTCATTATCGTCTAATTCCGACATTGCAAACATAATGAGACTGGAATGAAATTTGGGAAGAAATGCAAAATTAGAAATGTCCGACAAATGGCGCAAAACTGCCGCACATTTCACGGGAAGCTATCGCGATCTATCGGGAAAATGGTAAATTATATTTTATGAATTGGACAAACTGAGTTTGGGCTTCACAGAATTGAAACACTGTTTTTTGCTCTTGCCTGAACTCAGGTCGCACATTCCGAAATTGGCGCATTTGCGTCACAGGCAACGGGTTAAACATAATACAGGGCGATAATATTGGGTGGCAACAATTTGAAAAGTGAAACAACGCTTATCGTGAATCCACGCAAAATACCAAAACGAAATTAATAATCCTTCTGGGCATATTACCTCTTTGGATAAAAAATAAAGCTAAAATACAGTCTCATTCTAGCTGTACGAACAAAAAACACATGGCAATTTCTCAAACAGAGCTCTGATTGATGTGTTTTATATCAGGAAAATGCATGCGTCACCATTTAATTGCGCAAGGGTAGAATTAGGTGTATAATTTTGTATGAAATTCAAAGTAATATTCTTATTATAAAATACATTAAGATGCAAAAGCTCTAGTTATTTACTTGAGCTTGCAGTCCATCATTCTGCTGTAGCATTCACTCCTGCTAATCCATTTCTTTTTGTCTTTTCAGCTTTATTATTAATCGTCATTTTCTTCGGACTTGAGCCATATATAACTCATCAGCAAAATTTAAAAAAATGTAATAGCAGCATATGTTAGAATTCTCGATGCAGTATTGCGTATTGGCATACATTTTTTATATTTTTTCCTGTCTTTCTACAGTTTGTCATATCAATGTTCAGTTTTCTTAATAAGATTGTTTGCAATTTTTTTGTTTGTCTTTTATTATTAACGCTCTCTGTGTGAAATTTATCAATTAAATATCACATTCTTCGCTCTTACACCACCTAACAGTCACTTCGGCAGCAAAATTCGGGATTCCAGGTGCACGTGTTTGGAAGGAGGACTAAGTTAGTCAAAATTTGATGGTTTTATGTACCGTCTTTTTTCGTACAACATGCATTTAGGAACATGCATATATACATGCATATTCTTCATTATTTAATTTAAGTAATACAGGGCCATAATATTTGGTGGCAACAATTTGAAAAGTGGTATAAGCATTTAAATTGGACGATGCAAAATCCCGTTTCGAGACTAACAGCCCACTTGGGCTAATGCTGTTTTGATCTAAAAAATTTAGAACTTTTAAAGTTTCTTAAGTGCTTAAATTTCTATTGCACTAAAACAATTTTTGAATAATTAAGATATTTAAATTATTAATACCTAATTTTAATATCTCCGAAAAGATGTTGATGAGCATCTCAATGTATTGTGCCAAGAGGAAAATACATCCTGTAAAACTGTCTCCAAAAATTTTCAGTAAATTCAAATGTACTTACGGACATATTTTTTCGAGATCTTTCTCGGTTTCCGGAAAATCAAGTTCACGTAAACCTGATAAGCACGCCTTATTGGGATCTGTTTTGCAAATATCGAATTCATTGTTGCCTAAAAATATATAAAGAAAAACAAATAAGTAAATAAATTTACGATTGGCCAAGAACACAATTATTTTTATTTATTACTTATAATGTTGGAAAAGCCTATATTAAAAATAATGTCGATGCAGTGGTAAAGCCTTCACGATTCACAATTTATTACAGTGATAGAGTTTGAAAACTAGATCAAGCTATTTTTCAGGATATTGCTTGAAAAATGTGTTGCAGACTTCCCGGTGACTTTCCAGTAAATTAGAAGTACAGAAAAACTATGTATGTATAGACATTAGGTTATTTCGAACTATGTATGTATAGACATTAGGTATGGTATGTATAGACATTAGGTTATTTCGAAGCAGGAGTGATGAAAAAATGAGCAGTTCAATCACCGGGACTAGAACCACGGACCTCCCGAATACGCGTCCAGAGTGCTGCCTCTACACCACGAAGGCATTCGAAGAAGGCGGGAGAAATACCTTATAAGCTTAGCAACAACAGTTGCAATTAAAACACTATGATCCTTCTTACCGCCATACATCCAAACGTAGAACAGCTAAGAGCAGGCTCATTCATCTTATAAGTTGTGAAGACAAAGTTACTCTATAGTTTATAAGATAAAATAATTCACACTTTAATAGCTTTGAATTATTAAAAACAAATATAAATTTACCTCTGTCAACTTCATTTCTTATCACCAATGGAAAATTGAATAACCTTTAATAATTTGCAACCTTTAATAATTTTTATTTGCAAAGCACTCGGTTATCTGCGTAAGAGGAGGAATGCTTTCGTGGAGGATTTTCTAAAGGAAACTGGCTCGTATACACGTTAAATATGGAGAAAACCAAGAAAACGCCCATGCAGCCAGCCCATTCACGGGATTCGAACGCCCCACTGAATGACCAGTGTTCAGCGAGTTTACCGCTCGTCCGCTGATGGGACTAAACTCTAATGAATTGTATTTTAAAACATACAACTGCTAACAGCATATGTTGAAAACATGTGATGTGAACGGCCTGTTAAATTATACATATTTTTGATACACTTCATTTAAATTTAATTCCTCGAATTGTTGTAACTTAATTAACCGATTGCTCGATGCAAGTTGAAAAATGACATAAAAATTGCAAATTTTGAAATTCAATATCCCAGCCAATTTTTGTCGCAGGAACTTTTTATAACTTTATAGTTACATAACAAGTATAAACTAATCCAAATATAAGTATAGGAACCGGAAAACCGCATTAAAAGTTACATTTCGTTACTCATGCGAATTTTAGCCCAAAGGGCATTAGCCCTGAAGGACTATTAATTTTGTTTTAGCATTTTGCGTTGAAAACTTTAAGTGTGGGTTCACTTTTCAAGTTGTTGCCACCCAATATTATCGCCCTTTATTATATTTAAAGAAATTAAATAATGAAGAATCTGCATAAATGTATATATGTTTCTCTCATTGTGATTAATTGACATCCCATTTTGAATGACGTAACCTTTCACTGATCTGGCGGAATTTGCTCAAATTCCACTGAAGCCCGAATTTGGAATTCGAAATTCGTTTTGTTATGGATTTCATATTTTGTAACACTATAACGCATTTTTAACAAACTCAACGATTTCAAAGCGAGCAATGGCAACACTGTACGGGGGGGGGGAAGACGATTTTTGTTTCCAGCGAGCGGGATCGTGTATCGGAAATTCTAAAGATAAGCTCCATTTTAAAATTATTTTGCGATATTGCTGTTGAATTGAATTTCATGATTTCAGTGCGAAAAACTTGATATTTAATAAATAAAGGCAGGATACAAAACATTAAGTAAACGCCTCTTTGGTCGTCATGTAAGATCTGAAAGCCTTCAGAATTCTGAAAAATAAATGAAACAAAATCTGGGATCTGAAAGCTTTCAGATTTTCTTTTACTTATATATATTTTTTTAATTTGACATTGTCAAAAGATGAATATTTTCATCATATAAAACACTTCTATAAGTATGTAATTAATGATCCCAAACGTAAAGTTCGGGTAAGAACTCTAAAGCCGGGTAAAGGGCATGATTATATATGTATACTTTTGGTACTGACGATTACTATAAAATAGGGAGGTGCACAACTAGATGTTTTTATAATCCCATATGCAAAACGTTCAACCTTCTACGGCTAAACCTCTTTTGATTTATGCGAGAAACATAAATCCATACGTACGCGTACAAACGTCAAGAAAAAATGTCTTCGGAATCCATTTTAAATCTATTTTACAATCTTATTTTTTTTAAAAAAGGAACCTTTTTTGTGTAAGTACGTACAGAAAAATGAAAAAAAAAAAAAAGTCAAAATATGTTCTTGAACGGTCAAAAGAGACATTTCCGTTGAAATATCATAGACGTAAGTTTTCACGATTACAATACTTCCTTTATTCTGTACAAGGAAGTAAAAATTGCTTTCTGAGTAATCAAGAGTAAGGTATTAACGAAATATTTCTAATTTATAATTGTGTTCCCTGTGTGGAAAAAGTTAGAGAAGCTGAACTATTGAAAATATATATATATATATATAATTGATTTTCTAGACGATATACAGAGTGCACTTGTTTGCGTCACGAATCTATATGTTTGTTCGCTGATAGTTTAGTAAGCTTATGTTTCTGCAAATGACAACTCATTACTGTTGTTGTTGCTAATAGTCACTTGCCTGACCTATAGTCTGCCCAAGCCCACGAAATTTCTTGTGATAAGTAGCACAAGTTTTCACCTGTCGTTGGAAACAGCCTTCAACACTTTACAGTTTGAGACTGCGATTTAACTCAATTCCGAGCCCAATTTTGATGGAGAGCAACCACGGTGGGACGGGTGCGAGGATATCCCACCCCTCTTCTCCTACTACCCACCTCTTGAGAGGACTTTCGTCTCGCCGCATATTTAGAGTGTCCCCATGCAGCACGGACATTATTACATTTACAAACATCCGTGGCTTTTCCGGGATTTGAACCTGGGCCCTTCGACTCGGCGATCAGTGACGCTAACTACTATATCGGTTGGGTGGACTACTTATTACTGCTAATAATAAATTAAGGCCTTACCCTCTTACATTGTTAATTGGAGCGGTATTTTGTTATCTTGGCTGAAAGGTTGTTTCTAATGTCTCGCTGTATCGGGAGGGCCGACGGCACTCCCTTCACCAATAACACTCGATTTGTAACTCTCATGAATGCTCGAACCTCCGCTCAAGTTTTAATTTGAAAAATATACAAAATAAAGCGAAAATTAAAACGCAGTAGATGAATTCTTAAAGAAACACTATTCAAAGAACATGACACATGCCAACTTCTAAAATTTTAAATTCAAATACCATATATAACGAAAACATCGACGCACCAAGAAGGAGTTGCCCGATGGAGACAAAAATCGATGAATAAGAAGATTATGTACAGAATAGAAAATGATTAAAATTTCAGAACAATTGAATGATTTAGAGTTACACAGTTATAAGGTAACGAGATCAATAAGGTGTTGACCCACCTCTAGCGCGGATGCAAGCTGCCACACGACGTGGCATAGACTGATAAATCTCCCAGATGGTCTCCTGAGGTACTTCTTGCCAAATTTGCTCCAATTATAGAGCTAGGGCATCAACATTCTCTGGTAGATGCAGCCACTTTAACATCCCACACATGCCACACATGCTCGATGAGAGAGAGATCTGGCAATCCGGCTGGCCAAGGATGGGTTTTACAAGCTGTAACATAGTTCATAACAACACGTGCCGTATGTCCTCTGACATTATCTTGCTGAAAAGTAAGGCCAAGGTACTGCAAAAGGAACGATAGCAAAACAGGTCTGAGAATGTCGTCGACGTACCGCTTTGCTGCAAGTATGTTTCTGATGATGACCAAAGGGGTTCAGCTATCAAGGGAAATGACATCCCAGACTATAACTCCTGGTTGAGGGCCTATGTGGCGTGCAATAGTGAAAGCAAGATCAGCACACTGCTCTGGACCCGTCTTCGAAGATCGTCACGAGACAGTTGGAAGCAAGATTCGTCGCTAAAGACTGTATGTTTCCCAGTCAGCTCTATTCCAAACTGTAATCTGTAACCACCACTGTAATCAGGCCCGACAGTGTGCAGGCGTGAGTGGAAGGTAGCGTAATGGTCGGTGCGAGCGTAGATTTCGCTTTATCAGCCGTCTATGAATGGTCATGGTGGACTCTCGTGCGCGGGTCGCACGTCTGATGGGTGACAGCGATGAATCAAGGGCTATGGCAGCTGATCTGACAATCACTCGAATTCTGCGGCGAGGCATTCTTTTCAGTCGTTGAAAGGTATCCTAAATTGCAATGCAACAGAAAATTTTAACTACAATTCATGTATGTTCCTTATATACATCTCCTAGATGCGCAGTTCCCGATGCGCTGGAGATCCCACTATTCATTGGACACCAAATTTTAATCATTTGCATAGATAGCAGAGACATTAGATATTTTTTGGAAGCAGGAAAGATGGAAAAATTATCAAAACCTTCGCCGGGAATCGAACTGCGGACTTCTAAATACCGGTCCAGTGTGCAGACCATCACACCATGAAAGCACGCCAAGAAGGTGGGAGAAATACCTTATAGCATATTTGGTCAAAACATTTATTCATCCGAAATTTCAAAGCAATCGGATGATTCCTTCTCGGTGAATTGATTTTGTTTTTGTTATAGCGTGTACTTTTTCCTTCAGAGTGAAAAATACATTCAACTTCGCAATGGGAGGAAATCAAAATCTTATCAGATTTCTTATTAACACACTACAGATTTGAATACCTTTATTTTTTGCGCACCAGTGTGTCGCCATTCAATCAACCATAAGACATTTCTTTTAAATTTATTTATCAACACATTCAACAAATTAAAAGCAATATACTGGCCCACTGCCCGGAATAAAATGCACTTATTTTTCATGTTCTCGTGAGTTGCCCTTCGGCAAAGATATTTAGTTTATCTTTCAAATCTAATCATTTTGATAAAAAAACTAG